TTAATAATACCTAGACATTAATTATTTGAAGTTAAAAGAGATTTAACTTGCAATGAAGTGATTGAATAGTGTTACACACTGACATTTTATTTTGTGTATTTATTGACACAAATGTTTCTTGATATATTTAATTAAGCTTTTTAATTATTTTGTCTAGAAAAACTATTTGACCTGTGATCAAACGCAGGTCAAATAACTAATGATTAATTTTTAGTATTAAATTGTCGTGTATTAAAGCATGTGTTGTGATGTGTTTATCAAAATGTACAATGAACTAAAATTAAAGAAGTGTTTACTTTTTAAAATATTTTTTTATTTAAAAATATATTAAAATTATATTTTTATATTATTTTTTAAGACTCATTTTGACACTAACATATTATCTAAAAATATAAAAAAAATAATTTAAAACAAATAAAATTTAATTTTTTTTAAAAATACAAATAAACATGTTCATCTAGGTTTAGGCTTCAACTTTCAAGCCTATTTGTTCAAGGAATTTTCTCAACTTTCATGTCCATTTAAAATTTGACATATTTAAAAGTCTATCCTCTCCACACAAATAAATACTATAATTATATTCCTTTCGTTTGACATTGTGGTACAATAGGTTTTTTTAAGATTTTTTATTTTTTAAGATTTATTTTTTGGATGGTTTTGATATTAGTTAAATTTAAATTTTAAAAAATAAAAAATATTTTAATATATTTTTAAATAAAAAAATCTAAAAAATAATTTTATCCACGTTATCAAACAAGCCCATAATGTTACCCTCCAAATACTTTATTGCTTGAAAAACCCAAAACATGCCCAAAATTCCTTTAGATCAAATAGAGGTGTAGAGTGTTTTCGTTTTTTTTTGTTTTTGTTTTCATATTTTTAATATATAAAAACATTAAATCAATATTTTTCTTGTTGATGTTTTTTAATTTATTTTGATGCTATGAATATTGAAATTAAAAATAATTTTTTTAAAAAAATTAATATATTTTTAAATAAAATATTATTTTAAAAATAACCTCACATCACAATTTCAAACATAATAATAACATTCTTAACATGTACATGTCAATGAGACTTTTAACTCGGAATGAACTAGGTTGTAATTTAAATAAAAAAAAATATATTTAGCGTAATCCAATTAATTTAGAGGGTTAATCCATTATCTGTTTAATCTAGTTAAAAGAATCTGAATCTAGTAAAAAAAAACAAACTAAAAACTAAGGATTGACATCATGACTCATAAGTTATTCAATAACTTGGTGATTCGAACCCAAAACAAACTAGATGAGTTCCAAAATTATGAATTGTTTAGTGAAATGGTACGCGCTAGGCATTGGTACTAGGTAGATGACTCATTTGATGTTGTTAGTTAATTTTTTTTATATAAAAAATATAAAAAAAAATTAAGATTTAAAAATATTAGGTATTTTTGTAAAGTTATAAATAAAAATCTTGGGTTTAGCTGTAATACGTGATTTAAGATTAATATTTATAATATTAATAATAACATTAAACTTGCATGACCCAAATTTAGGTAAGTCTAGTTGCAATACCAAACTCAATAACCTTGGATATGGATCTAGTTGCAAGGTTGTGTCATGAAAATATGATAATTAAATAGAAAAAAATTGATGGGTTAACCAGAATTAATTGGACTAACTCATCAAATTAGGTTAACACGTCAAATCTAGAATATGTGTCATGAAAGTTTGATAACTAAATAAATTTTTTTTAACATAATAAATTAAATAAAAAAATAATTAAAAAATATCAGTTTTTTCACTATGGACTGCACAGTGCAGTCCATAGTCAAAGATATAATAATGGCAAAAGGGAAAAAAGAAAGAAAAACTAAAGGTAGTAACTGATAATTAAATAGAAAAAAATTAATATTAATGGAACAAATTAAATAAAAAAATATTAATTAAAAGGAAAAAAAACTAATGAAGAAAAACTTATAAAAAGAAAAAAACTAAAAATCTAAATTAACTAACATAATTCATCAAATCTAAGATACATGTCATAAAAGTCTGATAACCAAATAAAAAAATTTAATATCAACAAAATAAATAAAAAAGTTAATTAAAAAAATATTACCTTTTTCATTATAGATTGCATTGTGCACTCCATAGTGAAAGGCGTAAAACAAAAAAAAAAGCAAAAAAAAGAGTTAAAGGCATCATCCTTTTCATTGTGAATTATATATAATATTAAAATATGAAATCGAAAAAAAAAACTAATGAGAAAAAAATATATGAATCAACTGGGTTAACCCATCAAATCAGTTACCTCGTCAAATCTAGAATTTATATAATAAAAATGTAATAATTAAATAGAAAAAAGATTTAATATTAGTGAACTAAATAAAAGAAAAGATTAATTAAAAAGGAAAAAGCAAATAGAAAAAAACCTATAGGAAGAAAAAAACTATTAAAGAAAAAGATAAAAATATAAATCAATTGAGTTAATTCGTCAAACCAAGTTAACCCGTCAAATATGGAATCCATACCGTGAAAATCTGATAATTAAATAGAAAAAATTTAATATGAAGAAACTATAGATAGAAAAATAAATTAAAGACATAAGTTTTTTCACCGTAGACAGTCCACAATAATTAAATAGATTAATTAAAAAGAAAAAACTAATGAATAAAAAGAAAAAAAATATAAATTAGCTGTAATGCTTAACTTAAGAGTAATATTTATAATATTAATAATAATATTAAACATACATGACTCGAGTTTAAGGGAGTAGAACTGCAACACCGAACCCAAAAGCATTGGATGTGGGTCCGACTATAAGGTCGTGTCATAAAAATATAATAATTAAATATATTAATTAAAAAACAAAGAAAAAAAATTATAGTAAGAAAAAAACTAATGAATAATAATAAAAAAATCTAAATTAACTGAATTAACCTTTCAAATCAGGTTAACCCGTTAAACCTGAGATTTATATCATGAAAATTTGATAATTAAATAGAAAAAAATTAATAGGTTAACCCATAATTAATTGGGTTAAGCCGTCAAACCAAGTTAATCCGTCAAGCTCGAGATACTTGTTATGGAAGTTTGATAATTAAATAGAAAAAAAATTTAACATTAATAAAAGAACCTAAACGAAAAAATTAATTAAAAAAAATTTAAGTTAACTCGTTAAATTACATTAATTTATCAAATCTGAGATATGTGTCATGAAAATTTGATAATTAAATAAATAAAAAATTAACATTAATAAACTAAATTAAAAAAAAAATTCATTAAAAAAGAAAAAAGCAAAAACAAAAGCGATAAAGGCATAGAAAAATGAAGAAAAAGAGATAAAAAGAAGAAGATAGCTCATGCTTTTCAGTATATTTGATCATAATTATAATATAATAATATAATAATAATAGGGAAAGGCTAAAAAGCATGGGAAAAACTACACTAATTTTCCCATGCTTTTCAGAGTATTGAGTAATTTAACTTTTTTTTTTAAATTATTTTTTAATAGTTTTAGATTGTATTGAGTTGCTAAAGTAATAATAAATTTTAAGAAATATATTATTTTAAAACTTTTTTTTTTTTAAAAATACCATCTGCCAATTATCACATTGCTAAAACAGTCCACAACCCCCGCGGAATTCTACACTGAATACGGGAAAAACAGCTCAACAATTATGATAACACAACCAATCCACCGCATCAACTCTCCTTTCACTCAATATTAGTTAGTTTCCCTTGAAGCGAACACGACAAACACATCACGTCCATATCTTCCACCATTAGCCAGAAACCAAAGCCCACCACCCTCCACCCACCTTGCTTTCACGTTTTCACGATCTCAAAACAAACCACCCCTCGACTCCCTCTCCCCTTCTCATATAACTCCCTTGTTTCACAACCAAGAACGATCGAGATCCAAGCAAAACAAGAAACCCTCATTAAGAAAGATGTGCTGTGGAGGTCGAATGTGCATGCTGTGCACATGCTTGATACTAGTGGTGATCTTGATTGGCTTATCGTTCGGTTTTGGAGTTTTCAAGAATGGGTTTCACAAGTTGAAGGATCACCTTGATGTTTGTGATCCTAACGCTATTGGCTCCTTTTGCGGCGGCGGCAGCAAGGCTTCGAGGCCTTTCTTGGGTTTCCCAGCCCCCCCTCCTGGCTCTTTCTAGGGACAAGAAGAATTCTCTCATTCTGCTGCTGTGATGGTTTTCTTTAGCGTTCCGAGTCCCTTTATGTGCCCTGATTGTTTTAGGAATCTGTGATGAGATTGTTTATTGGCATTTTTTTATTAAATTCATTTATCCTAGTACATTAATTGTTTCTTGATCTGGTCTTGATGTCAATGACAGTGAATTACTTTAGTACTATTTGTTTGATGATTATGATCGTGGTGACTAGAGATCCAGGGGCCAAGTCCTTTCAACTAATAACTGAAGAACTGCATCAGTTCTTTGTAATTCTATTTCACTTTCTTGCTTTCTGGTTTTCCAATGATGGAAAAGGTCAATGTTACAATGGGCCAGTGTTTGGTATAAAAGGGTCAATATTGTAAATTACATCATTTTCTTAACTGAGATTTCAAGCAAAATCCCTTAATGGTAGATGTGTTGGCTACCCAAATATTTTTGAATTTTAAATATATACTTAAGATAATATATATATATATATCACACTACATCGTATCGTGCCTAATATATATATATATATATATATATTACACTACACCATCGAGCCTAGGCTAGGTTAGATGGTACCAAGAACAATCAGATTGATGCTTTTGCATTTCCAGCCTCGCTTGACTGTTATACCAAATGAATTCTTAAGATTTCCTGCTACTTTCTAATAAATTTGAATATGTACATAGCTTGAACATCAAATCTATTTATTAGATATTCGTGATATATATTTTAATTAATTTTATAAATTTTAAAATTAATAATTATATAAGTTGGCTCTAAAACTATAAAATTTAAATTAATAATTTTTTAAAAATAAATTTAGAATTTAATTAGTTAAGGTGTATTTTTAATATTAAAATTGAGCAAAATATTGTAGGCATGAGTGCATGTGTATGATTGGAGTTCAAATTATAAAATTAAAATATTGACTAAAATATTATCTAGAATTATAATATTGATTAAAATATCATCTAGAATAAAATAAAATTTATAATTATATTCCATAAATGTAATATTTTCTTGAAACTTTCTTTTAATATAGTTACATAATGTGTTACTGGTGACTATAACCTTGACTTGTGCATTGTAAGTGTATGCGAGCATTATCTATAAAATTCTCTGCATTTGTTTCTATGCTCTCAATGCACGTTTAATAATATTGTGAAATTACAAGCATGCACGCTTCAATCGCTATTTCTAGCTGAGCGGTGGTTGTCCCTCGACGTTAAAATTTATGACAGTGATAACATGTAGCAAAATAATATAGAAAGCCCCCGTGTAAACAACTTCCTGGACAAATCTGGGACAACCAATAGATCACAGCGGGCTACTCTTGGGTTCTAATTTTGATAACCTTTGTTTATCCATCTGAAAAACTGTTCTTATAACATGAAACAACTGAAAGCACCATGCAAGGCAAGTAATGAGAGCAACAACATAGAAGAAATGCAAAACAAAACATAAAAGGACAGAACTAATCCATTGTAAGCTACGGTTGTTGTTAGTTTTGATGGTCATTTAGAAGTCTTTGACAATAACAACATGCAGAGCTACCACGACAAGATCCATTTAGGCCAGCAGAAAGGCAACAAAGTTATCCATGTCCATGAAATGGAAATTGTTTGCTAGCAGTCTCAAAATCTTGCTCATACTGGGAAAAAAAAAACAGAACAAAAAATAACTTGTCTAAATACAAAAATAATTAAAAACATGCAGACCATGCAGCTAAAAGATCACTGCATCAAAATGGGATTACCAGATTTTTAGAAAAGTTCAATAGCGGTGGGTCTGGGACAATGCTCCTTCTAGCGGATTCCCCATCTTTTGCTGTAAAAAGATGTCTGGTTAGTAAATTAACAGCTCTTGATAGCAGATCTGAAGTGGGAGTGGTGGCATTGAAGGTGGGTGGAGACGATCAAAAGAAAAGAATTAGGGAAGATTGGTGACCATTGACGTTTTTACTGCAACTCTCGAAATTAGCTGACATTACCGATCAATTTACATGTGAAGTTCTTTTCATAACCTCGTCATAATCACACCTAATCAGTATCGCTAACATCTAATTAGTGTTTTGAAATAGAAAAGGTAGAAATAATTAGGAAAGAAAGACATGCGCTTTTCTATTTGAAATGATGAAAAACCACTTCAAAATTGTTCATCCATGAAAAATTTAGAGGTTTGGGACCTAATTAAGAATGAGTATGTAAGATAGTGACTAAATTAAGGTCTACTAAAAAGCAATAAACATCTTAATCCAAACCACATCCTTGTAATTTAAAAAAAAAACCTAAACCAACTTATCTCACAAGTCACAAAATCGACAAAAGCCCACCTCCTTCTCCTCGAAGAAATCTTTAGCTCCTTGCAACCTTAAGTACAAGCATTCACTCCTACATAAAAGAAGAAACGACACGCAAACTTGAAAACCCAGAAAAGAAAAAACACCGAACTACCAAAGAGATCCAATCCTACCAAAGAAACATGAGAATCACTGTAATGACAATAGGTGAACAGATCATATCTCTTGAAGTTGACCCTCATGAATCTGTAATCATTAATCTCTAAACCCCTTTTGTTTATTCCAGTCATTTGAATAATACACATGCTTACCATTCATTTATTTGATTGCAGGTTGAAAACGTGAAAGCTTTACTTGAAGTAGAGGTGAAAGATCTCTCTCTCTCTCTCTCTCTCTCTCTTATATGGTTAGAGAAATCGGGTTGCTCGAAATTACTAATCTTGTTTTGAAAAACCCAATTCAAATTTGTTCGTAATGTGTTCATTAATCGGTATATGTTCCTTCTCCGAAGTTTAATTATTGAAAAGTTTTGTATCTTTATTGTTATTGTTGATTTTGTATGGTGTGAGAGCACCCAAAGTTCCGAGCTTTTCTATTCTTGGAATCCAATTCACCTTATTTTTACACTGGACTTGTATAGTTTTAATTGAAGCGTGGTAATTGTGCAATTTTGGGTTTGCATTCAAAGTATTGATTTTTGTTTTGTTTTGATGTGAGAGTAGACGCAGGTGCCACTCCAGCAGCAGCAGCTCCTATATAATGGGAGGGAGATGAAGAATAATGATAAATTAAGTGCATTGGGTGTTAAGGATGAGGATTTGGTCATGATGGTCTCTAATTCTGCAGCTATTAGGTATTTACACTTTTTTTTTGTATTTTTTTACCAGTTAAATTCCTTGCTCGGATTTGACCTGTCTTGTTTTTTCCTGGAATTTTGGAACATTGTCTAGGTCTTTTGTAGTTTGGTAACTTTCAGATTGACTGCTGTTGTGATTCATGAAATTTTAGATTTTGGTTTAGTTTTTGTAGTTTATCATTTTAGTTATGGATCCATTTGTTCAATATGAGCATTGGTGATCCTAACGTCAGTATATTTGTTCAAATTGTTGTGGTATTCACATTTTCATGCTAAATGATGAAAATCGTGCACTTTTTTCAGTGCCCCCTCCAATAATTTTGGCTTAAATCCTGATGGATCTGCTGTGAACCCTGGAGCTTTCCAGCAGCAACTTCGAAATGATTCTAATACAATGGCTCAACTATTTCAGGTAAGATGGATCATTTTTTTGTTCAGTTTTTCCTTTCACCCTTCTGAATCTGGAGTGTTGTGCAATTTCATGTTGATTTTAATGTTTTAGTTCAGATGAGAAATATCTTGCAATCTGATAACTGATTCCCTGTCGAAAGAAGTATCATTCTTGGCTTGTCTGTAGTGTCCATTGCATGTCTCCTAATCCTTTTATTTTTTCTTACAATGGTGCGATAAGTGATTGTCTGATGCCATCAATTTATGTCGCAACAGGCTGATCCTGAACTTGCCCAAGCTGTTCTTGGAAACGATCTCAACAAGCTGCAGGAACTTCTTAGGCAACGCCATCGCCAAAGATCTGAATTACGACGTCAACAAGAAGAGGAATTTGTGAGTACTAGCTTTTACTGGTGGCTCCCTATGTTATCTATTGCGTCATGCCCTTTTATCTTAAGAAAAATATTCCACCATATAATTATGTTATTTCAAATAGAAATCTATCGTAAATGTTGACTTAAGGAGATGATTTACCTATATTCTTTCTGGTTTGGGATATAGGCCCTCCTTGAAGCAGATCCCTTTGACGTAGAGGCACAAAAGAAAATTGAAGCTGCCATTCGTCAGGTGAGTATTATTTAACTCTGTAATGGCAAAGGTGTCAGCAACAACTTACTAAAAGTACTTGGATGCCCTTATCCTGTTGTACTATTTTGGTAACTGTGATTGCACAACTAATGTGAGGTCGAGAATGGGGTTTCTATTGTCTAAAGTTCTAGAAATCAACTCGTATTATTGTGGCTACTGTGATTGCACAACTAATATGAAGTCAAGAATGGATTTTTTACTGTCTAAAGTTCTAGAAATCAACTCGTTTTCTTCTTCTTCTTCATGTTTTTTTCTTTTTTTAAAAAGTGGTTATATGCTATGCAAGGACATGATGTGTGTCTTGCCCTTCCATTTCTGGGAGATGAATTCTTTATTATGGTTGCAATACAGCAATATATATAGCCTTCTGATTTTAGTTTCCACTCAAAGGCTTCCACTACTGATTATCATGGCATTTTTTTTTTCCAGATGCTTTTTTCTTTCAGTCTGTTTTGATGTTTTCCATTCCTGCTAATTCCAAATGCAGAAAGGAATTGACGAGAACTGGGCAGCGGCCTTGGAATACAACCCTGAAGCTTTTGCCAGGGTGGTATGTATGCTTTTCAACCTAGTGCAGTACAATTGAAGTTTGATTATTGGCTCTTAAATTTAAAGTTTCTTCTTTAACCTTTCAGATTATGTTGTATGTTGACATGGAGGTTAATGGTGTCCCTTTAAAGGTAGAGACAGTCTTGTAATCTTCTTTCAATACATAGTGTTTGATTTGCTGTCCTTGTATTCTTTCAACATAATCATGTGTTTGCGTGTTTTTCTTGTAATCTTCATTTATTCCCCAAAACAGCTCTCATCTATGACTGGGACCAACACTGAATTTTTCTGCATGGTTTGATTAGTTTTCTCATGGGAGCATTGAGCTTGTGTGATTATAGATATACTGATTTCTCTTTTTGTTTCAGGCATTCGTTGATAGTGGTGCTCAGTCCACAATAATATCAAAAAGCTGTGCCGAGCGATGCGGGTATTTGCTATTCTTATGCACTCGTTCCTTTTCTATTGGTCAACTTTTGAGGTTACATGGTTGGATATCGAAGTC